CCAGCCCGCTGGGCAGTGGGGGTGGCTGGGCGCCAGCTGCCCCGAGTTGGGGGCTCCCCACCTTCCACACTTGTAGCCCTTCCGACATCTGTCCGGAAGCTCTGACGGGGCTCCCCAGACTCACCCGGGCCCCGCGGCAAAAAGTGGAGCCCTGGGCAGGCCTCCCCCTCTGTGCCCTGCTTGGCCTCCCTGTGGGTCCCTGTGACTCACGAGTTCACACACAGGACCACGATGTTTTTCCACAGGTTCCGAGTCCCCACCACCTTCACGATGCAGACCTTCTTGGGCCTCCGGGAAAGCTCCTTCTCCAGCTCTGCAGAGAAAGGGGACCCGTGAGCGATGCTCGGGCAGCCCCAGACAGCCCAGTGCGTGAGTTCCGGCATCAGGAGAAGGAGAGGTTCGTCTCGATTTAAGTCAGGCGTGGGGCCTGGATCTCAGGATGGAAATGTGCTCACGGAGACACTGACTTTGCAGGTTAAATGACCCCTGGGGGCCTGCAGGGAGCCAGGACCCCATCGGAACTTCTTCCCACCACACCGCCTTTCTCAGGAGCCAGCGAGACACACACAGACCCACACCCCTGTGGACTCTGTCCACTCGGCCTGGGAAGGCCTGTGGAGGCGGAGGGAGGGCGCGGAGCAGGCAGAGGTTCTCTTCTGCATGGAGTCTGATCCGTCTGCGTCACCCTCTGCTGGGGGATGGGAGACACACCTGCTGCTTGTGGTCCCCATGCTCGGGGCAGCACAGGCTGGGGCTGCTTCCTCTGCACCTGTCCCTGCCGTGCCCGCGTCTTAGGAAGAGAAGTAAGCAATGAGCACATATGCATGTGTGTGCACAGACGTGTGTGCTGGAGCGAATGGGGCTGAGCAAGACCGACCGTGTCCTCGCTCCAGAGGGGCCCAGCTGGTGCCGCTGGCATTCTGGCTGTCCACCCACTGACCCTCTCAGCCCAGGACTGCCTGACCTCTATCATCTTCTCTGCAAAAATTGGCAAGTTTGATTTACAGACATACTGTCCCCACGGCTAAAACACCAAAAACGTTTTAAAGAGCATAGAAACATTGTGGTTCACAGATAATGTTGATCTAATGATCTGAGTATCTTCACTGTCATAAAACTGGTCCGGAATCTACGCATAGCCACGCTTGCCCACCGTGGAAATCTTCCAAGAAGAGAAATTAAATGTCCATTAGCACGTTTATATAAGTTAAGCATTTTCTTTTTTTTTTTTTTTTTGTAATGTGGCCCAAACTTGACTCCTGGTACATTCTAATACATGAAGCCGACGTTGTTAAGGAGCTGCAACAATTGTAATCACGACCTGCGTGTGTTTTAAAGGCTAAACTCCGGAGCCCAAATTGCCTGTCGTCTGTAGAGGTAGCTGCATTATTCTAGGTGGAGTTACACTGACTGCCCTGGGGCCGTTGGTGTGCTGTCTGTGTGACACACATGGCCAGCCAATAAACAACATCACAGACCTTCTTGGCGCCAGGCCTGTACTTCTAGGGTGACACTCACAGCGCTGAGCCCAGGAAACACTATGTGACCTCCAAGATCCTGAGGAAGTGAATGCCAGACGCCCGTCCTTCTCTCTAGCCATCAGACAGAAATCTCAGGGGCTTTTTAAGGTCCTCACGTGTAGCAATAATAGGGTGACCGGGCCAGTGAGACGAGACCAGACTCTGAGCACCGAGGAAGCAACTGCCGAAAGCACTTCTCTCCCCGGGCCTCTTCCCCACTCTCGGCCCTCCTGACTTAGAGCCAGAAGAGAAATTTCGAGATCAAAACCTAGCCGAGCCTCTTTGATTCCAGGCCCCTCTGACGCCACCCGCGTCCCCAACCGGCCTGCTCCCGTGCATTTCAGCTGCTCCCGTGATGTGCACCTGGAGGTCCGGCTTGGCCCGGGCAGGTGACCGCTGTCCTACTCTGGGGGCAGCGAGGGGTCTGGGAGACCTGGCGGAATCCCGGCTTTAACCCGCCTGCTGAGGCTCCTTGCTCTGTCCCTCCATTTCTCCTCTGGTAAGTGGCGGTGCCCCCTCCTCCGAGCGCTGTTATGGGGACCGATGGAAGAAGTCGTGAAGGCCGCCTGGCCTGCAGTGGGCAGTGGCCGTCCTGGCCCCACGCCCCGGCCCACCGAGACCGCCCTGACCTCTCACCTCCCACCCAGAGGGGACGGCGTCCCCGCGGGCCCAGGAAGGAGTCACGACCTCCCTGTAGTTCAGAGATCCATGCTTCCCAAGGACAGCGCAGGGAGGGGCCTGGCCTCCGAGATGCGGAGAGGCACCCCACAGGGTGGCTGCGTTCGCTTGTACGGGGCGCACGATGATTGGCTTTGCTTTTGTACTCAAGCCACCGCTAGTGTGTTCCTGGTAGAACTGGAGACACTTCAGTTACGGAAACTAAAACCAAAGAAAGGCAAGCCGTGGGGCAGAGGAAAGGGGGAGGGAGGAGGAGGACACTGCTTGTAGGAAGGACACTGGGAGTGATGCGCGGGAGCTGCGGAAGACCTGCAGTGATTCAGCTGCAAACTCCTCGGAGAAGCAGCCAAAGGTAAACTGAAGACCGCTTTAAAAGAGGAAAGCACAGGGAACATTCTGGAATGTCACGTTTTCTTCCAGCATGAGTCCAAGCCTGGGGTGCACTGATGGGGCAGGACGCCAGCCCCCACCTCTGAGCCTGAGACACTCCTCTGCCTGGAGACAACACGACCATCAAGGGGAGTGGACGCCCCAGCCCTCCCTGAGCACGGGGACTGCGGTCCATTTCTCCCATGGGGGCTCCTTTGGAGGCTCCTGCGTCAGGGCTGGAAGTGCCGGACGTGGGCCCTGAACGCCAGCCCTGGGGACGAGCAGCCACACAGCCCCTCGGCTCCTGTCGTCCTTATTCGGATGCAGGCACCGGACAGGCATCACCGGGGGGCCCAGCCAGGCCTGGGGAGTCGGGCTGCCCTGGGCTCCCAGGAGCTGGCCACACGAAAGCGGGGCCGAGAGGACAGAGCTGGAGAGGGGCGGGCCCAGTGGAGGGGAGGCATGTGGTGCCCCCAGAGCCTGGCGGAGGTGACACGGGGTCTCAGTGTCTCTGTCTCCCTCGCCTCTCAGAAGCAGCACAGGGAAGCCGCTTCTGCTGGGCTTCTGGACTCCAGTCCCTGCTCTACTCCTCACTAGCGGTGTGACCTCCAGCAAGATACTCAGCCTCTCTGTGCCGTAGTTTCCCCATCTGCAAACGGGGATAATTACAGTACCTCTTGCACAGAACTGCTAGGAAGAAACATAAATTAATAATGCAAAGTGCTCAGGTTTAAATATTAGTTAATATTTGCAAGTCACTGAGAAAAGTGACGTTGTCCAGTATCAGTGTCATGCCCGCGTCCTGGGCAGGGATGCATCCCAGCCGAGCAACAGCAGCATGTGAGGAACTTCTGACACCAAACCCAGATCTCCTGGGTCAGGAGTCTGATGAAAAGCCCGTCTGGGAAGCGTGAGAAAGGCGACTCCAGGAGCCCTTCCCGGCCGGCGAGCTCCCACGTGCCCGATTCCCTTCCCCAGGTGCTCCTTCCTGCTCACCGTGTTCACCCCCCGACAATCGCACGTCCACTTCTCCCTCGTCTGCCTCCTCCACGTGCCTGTGATATTATCGCCCTGATCTGGCTCGTGGTGATGTTCCTGATAAACACGAATTCTCTAGATGTGAACTTTCCTGCCCAAGCAACAGGCCCTGAGAGTTGCAGACAATGGCAGCTCTTTGAAGGTCCTACTTGGCAGAGGTGGTGAAGGCCAGTGGCCCCTAGGCCGGCTGCTCCCCAGGCCAGCCACACCCCTACGCCAGGACTGCCGGCACCAAACCTGGCAGGCAGGCAAGGCTGTGTGCCAGGCCGGGTTTAGCCCCCCAAGTTCCCTTGAAGAGCAGGGCATGTCAGGCTCATGCCTCCCCAGGCTTTGGACTTGAGCACATCCAGGTCTAGCTGAGGACCACCATCACGGGAAGTTAGACAGCCAGCTGGGGCGGCCGTCAGGCAGAACAGAGCCAACGCAAGCACCAGGGGTGTGCTGTGGGCTGGCTCCTGGTCCGGACGGGACAGGTGGCGCGTCCCCCAGGCCTGGCGAGGCCGTGGGGTTGAAGGGAACACGTGCTCACCTGGCATCACGCCTTTGATGTCACTCTCGGGGTTCATGCGGTTCTTCTGCGTGAAGTGCAGGATCAGCTTCTTTGCAGATTCAAACTGCTGCGTGGCCATGAGCCAGCGGAGGGACTCGGGGAAAATCCTGCAAAGAGACAGAGGGGTCGGTGAAGGTCTTTAGACTGGACGCGGCTCCGTCGCGGTCCGGGAGCTCTCAGGCAGGTCGGACTCGATTTCTGCCCACAAGTGGTGGGACCAAGCCCAACCAGCAGAAGGACACTGTGGCCCTAGGTGTTCCTCGTTTTCTTTCAGAAAAGGGTAAAACCTGCAGCTCTTCAAGTGTGCAGACAGGAGCAGCATCCTACCAGCTGCATCAGGAACTCCGTGCGCGCCCTCCACCGTAACCATCCGTGCTCACGGCCCACCGTAACCAGAGGTTTCTAAACATGTTCCAGCCGCTCTCACTGAAGGGCTGCTTTTGTGATATTTTGTCCCAAAAACCTCATTCATAGAACGACTTTAAGTTAAAAAAAATGCCCCTATAGCGGCCAGCTGGCAGGCACTTTCAGTTTCGAACATTTGAAGGCTTCCTTTCCCAGGGCCCAGCGGCAGAATTATTTTCACCTTGCTGCTAACTGCGCATGACAGCTCCCTGGGATGGTGGTGTTCAAGTGTTACTCGCCACAGATTCCTTGAGTTTGTGTTTAGGATTAAATCTTGTGAGGAGTCCCAACAGGAAAAACAAAACAAAACTAAACAAACAAAAAAACCCCCCAAAACAAAAAACCCAGACGAGTGCTTCATTGTCAATGCATCCTGTAAGTTTGCATTAATGACAGTATTTGCAAGTTGACCAAAGAGGGCAGCGTGCCTGCGCAGAGCAGGGGTTCAGCTCACTTTTTCCGTAAAAGTCCGAACAGTTAACATTCTAGACTTTTAGGCTTTAGTCACAGGGCTCTGCAGAAACTGCTCGGCCCTGCCTGTGTGTGCCCCGGCCACAGCCGCACGCAAAGGAATGGGGGCTGCGTTCCCTTGGGACTGAAGTCCTGCGAAGCAGTGGGCACCCCCGACTGGGAGAAACAGAAGTCGGAAATCAAAGGTGGGGAAGCCCGCGCAGCCTGTCAGCCCGGGGCCCCAGGGCCGCTGCATTTCATCTCAGTTACAGTGTCCAGACCTGCCCTGCCCGCTGTGGAGCCTCTGACCGAAGTGCGCCAGAAGCCAGGAAAGCTACCAGCGGTAAACTTGCACTTCAGCGTCACATCCCTGATGCTGTAATGGCGGGCACTCCCTTACCTGTTGGAACAAAAATCAAGTTGCTGTATGCTTACGATGAATTCTGCAGACACCTGACTTCAGCGGCACATTGGGACGGTCTGGCCGACTGTTCATCTACGCTGGGAGACCTGGGCCTTCACAGTCCAAAAGCCACCTTCCCTGCACGAAGGTACAGGAGGTGCAGGAGGGCTGTGTGCCCGCCCCGGGGAGGTGGGCCCCGGCGTTGAGACAGGCTCAGAAAGTCTCACGTCTTTTCATAGAGGAGCCCATTGGAAAGCTGATAAAACATAGGTTTCAAATTGTATGCATTGATTTTTTTAGGTTAATTAGATTACATTTATTTATTAACGGAGGTGCTGAGGACTGAACCCAGGACCTCATGCATGGTAGGCACGCGCTCTGCCACTGAGCTAGACCCTCCCCACCCTGCACTGATTTTTTAAAAAAATAATGAAAGTTAATGTTTTTTTTTACTGGTCTCTAGTTTTTACAAATTAATTTTGAATAACATAATTCAAGCAAACAAACACTCAGAATATGACATAACAGACATCAGTATTATGTAGGTAGTAACATCTTACCATGTTTTATCAGGTCTTTCTTTAAGATGAAATAACCGAACACAAATGCCCACCCTACGGCTCTTGCCCGTGTTGTCTCCATCTTTCTGATTTATTTGGATTTAGTGTCATTTTCTAATTTCTTAAGATGGACACGCAGATTGTTAACTTTAATTCTTCTTTTCTAATGTATACACTTCAGGCTTCATAATTGCATCTAAGTATCATTTTACCTCCATTTCACAAGTTTTGGTAAGTAGTTCTGGCTGTAGTTTGATTCTAAATATTTTGATTTCTATCTGGGTGTTTCCTTACCTAAGATAGACAGACACGCAGATAGACATTTCAAACATACGGGTTTTGAGAAGAGGGTAGTGGAGGGGCTGCTGTCTTGTTTCCTTGTTTTTTTAATTTCATTAGATCACTTTGAGAAAACGCAGTCCGCATTACCGGGCTTCCCCGCGCTCCCTGGGACTGGCTTGGTGACACAGGCTACGACCAGTGTGTGCGTCTTCCCTTTGTCCCTGTAGGATTCCACATGCAACTACCCGATCAAGTGTATTTTTTGTGTCTCACTTTCTCGAATCCATCTGATCAAGTTGTCGCGAGCTGAGAAGCTGGCTAATCTGCCCCTCTGACTGTAGATTTGAGGTCCTGGTTTGGGCACAGCCCCCCTCTCACTGAGCGGCACCTGCCCTCCCCACGCCCCTGCCCTGTGGGTGGCAGCAGGGACCCAAGGCATCACGACTGAGCAATGCCGGGCAGGCTGGCTGGAGAGACCCAGGGCAGCCAAGAAGCAGCCCCAATTTCAGGGGGACCCACGTGATGCCCCATGACGTGGAGGCCACGGTCTGTCACCCTGACCGCTGGGCAAAGTGGCAGTGCACCCCTGAGCTTCTTTTTTAGAACTCAGACATTTATTTGGTCACCAAACTTTTTGCCCTCATACGTACTGAGCATTGTCACTACAAATACATCCCAAAGGGGCACATACGTCCCTGACCTCAAGGAACTGAGGAGTCTTGCAGAAGAACTCCTCTGTGAACAGACAGGTAAACAAGGCAGACACACACACGGACACACTCCCTGTGGATTTACAAGTGACTTGGACAGAAGCCCGTACAGAATGGGACGGGACAGGGCCCAAGAAGAGAGCGGGCGGTTCCTTCCAAGAGGAAGGGCAGGACGGGGGCGGCCGGGGTAGGGGCAGAGCCGAAGCGGCGGGGGATGCTCGGGCGTCCTGGGAGACGAGCAGGTGCTGGTCAGACCCCCCCGTGCTGTGGGGGGGGTGTGGGGACAGGACCCAGAGGAGAGGCTCTCACCCGAGAAACACACAGCATGTTGACTGGGGAGCCGCAGGCTGTAATGCCAGACTCCTGGGTCTGGGAGGAGAGATGGGAGGCGGGGCCCAGGTGGGGAGGACCCCAGGTCACAGAAGAGCGGCTGCCCCTCCCCCAACCAGAATGAACCCAGGTGCAGAACCAGGGGTCTCCCTGCAGATTTGGGCACAGGTGACAGGTGGACTCCTGTTGGTCCCATGTCCTGTCTCCAGTGACGGGACGCCGTTGCCAGCCACCTCCCCCACGACTGGCCTGCAATTACCAGGCCCCCTCCACACCCTTCCCATGTATTCCAGTCTTTTAAGCTCATTGTGTGTTAGGAACATTATCCCCATTTCACAGATGGGAAAACTCAGGCAAAGAAAGTTCAAGGACATCGTCCAGATTTCAGAGTGGTTAAACGCTGAGCTGGACTTGAACCCCGGCAGTGGGGCTCAGAAGCCCACATTCTTAACCTCGGTGGATGCGGCAAAGGAACAAACCGCTTGTGCCTAGACGGTGCCGACGCCTGGGGTTTGGGGCAGACTGCTCCTGGGATGCTTCCTCAGGCCTCCCCGATGCCACGTATTTGAATTTGCTGCAGAGTCACAAAGAGCTCGTTGAATTGTCAGCCGATGAGAAAGCCCCCAGATGGCTGCCCCAGTTTGGAAAATGTGCAGTGTGGCCACATTATGGGAATTTAATGAAATCTCTCTTGACAAGTACATAATGTAATAACACCACGAAAATGAAATAGCCAGCCGCTGGCCCAGGAGCTGGCAGGAGTGTAGCTGAGCCTCCGAGAAATCCATCATTTTCAACAGAAGGAAGAGTAGGGAAGGCGGCTGGAGGCCGCGTCTGCGGGGCACACTCACGTGCAGGTCGTGCGAAAGTGACCTTGGCAACCATGAACGGAAGCGAACACCAAAGCCACGGTGGCGTCTGTGGGAGTCTGCAGTCGCGGCTGGAAGAGGCCAAGGCTCCGGGAGCAGGGAGTGGTGCACGGAGGAGATGGCGGAAGGGCGATTTACAAAGCTGGAAGGGTTTCACTCTCTCGAGCTCATTACGTGGAGGTACTAATGTTCTCTCTTCTCCAGACGGGAAGACTGAGGCAAAGCAAGTCCAGGCGCACTGCCTGGATTACAAGCTATTAACGTGGCAGAGCTGCATCTGAACCATCCTGACCCAGAGGTTTTTAGGCTGTGATCACTCCAAGCCGGTGGCTCAGTGGTCTTAGGGCTTCTGCACAAAGGATGCGGGCAACACTGCAAAGTCTCTGCTCGTCCTGCTCGAGTCCGAGGCCCACGGCAGGATGCAGGGCACAGAGAGGACACGTGCAGAGCCCGCCGGGCAGAGTCTGTCTCTTCCCTGCGGCGGTCACACGTCCGATGGACCTCCTGCTCCAAGGCACGTGACGGCTGGTCCTGAGGCCTCCAAAATATGTCCAGGATGGTCAGACGGTCAGGATCCCTCGCTTACAATTTCAGGATCCACAAGGTTCTGAAATCCAAAACCTCTTTGTTTAACTCACTTGCAAGGAAATCGGAACTCCCTGGAGGCAGAGCCGGACCTGGTGGGGGTGAGGGTCTGAGCCTCAGGCACGGCTCTTGAGGGATGGGGACCCCTCCCTGCAGAAACAGGAGCGTCTGGTATGGGTGCCACAGAGCACGATGTGGGCTGGACCGGCAGCATCCACACAGCGTGGATCCACCTCCACGGCCCTGCCCCGCGCTCTGCCCGCCTCGCCTGCCTCCTCTTCCCAGAAGCAGGAGGATGTAGGGTCAGCAGCAGCCGTGAGTCACAGGGTGAAAGGCTTTGGCTATGAAGTTAATTTTCAATTAAACAAATCACTTAAATCCATCCTCTACTTAAAAACTAAAGTATTCCAGGGAAGACAGAAACCCTCCCTGACCTCTTGCCCCCATCCCGGTGCCCCCGCGCTGCCCTCCCCCGACCAGGCTGCCCCCTGCCCCCTGGGTGAGCGACCTCCC